AAAAAAAAAAAAGAAAAAAAACTCTTGTCATTAGTTAATAAGGAAATAAAAACAGTATATTTTATTGTACTAATGATTAATAAAAATGAGATCTCCAGTTATGTTACGCTATTATATGCATGAAGTTTAAAGATTTCAGCATTTACAAACCATGCTCACGATAAAAACTATTTTCTGCTGCGTTATTCATCATTGAACATATATTTTTATAATTTATATTACAGTTATTAAGTAAGTTTATCAATTATACGTCAACAATGTAATGTACGATGTTCAGGACTCACTATTGTACAGCACAATGAATACATTCATTTACACATTAAGACCTCAGAGAAACTACAATTCATCGTCTAGTATGGGTATACATTCGGGCGTAAATTTTAAACAATGCTCAACGCGTTTAGTTTCAAAGCAGAGTTAGTGGCACGTGCTGACGTTTGAAGACCTCTATGGTACGTAAAGTCGGTAAAGACACCGAGAAAATACCCGTTCGCTCATCATCGTGTTGTTCGCGAATCACAATCCATGAAAAAAGAGTCAAAAGTTAAAAGGTTTTCATACATGAAAGCTGGAAGTGGAGGAGAGAGAAATACAGAAGGTATGGATGGAGGAAAAGGTAGAATCGTGCATCAACAGTTGACTCGAGCGTGATGTGCACTTGCCAAGCCGAGGGAGGAGAGCATAACACGTTGCATGCCAGTGTACTCCACAATATACGCAGTTGTAAAACTTACTTGAACTTAGCCAAAGGCAGGGGTAAGAAAGGATGGGATTGGAGAGCCTCATTATTCTAAGCTTGTCAGCTTCTTGTACTCTGCTGCTTCGTTGGGTTATGGCTCTCCTTCCTACCTTCTCCTCCTCCTTACATTTCATGAGATGAAACGGGTTTGTGGTTTTGTTTTCAGGTCTCCCAACGTAACCCCTTTCCTTTTTTATCTATACTTCTGATCCTTCTTTTGAGTTCAAACTCAAAGGTAACGAATGTATTGATTTTTTAATGTTTAAGAAAATGCGAAGGTAAAATATTCATAATATCTATAAATTCTCCTGCTAGTGCATGTTTTTTAATGTATGAGGTGCCAATAGATAATACAATCACTTTATCATCGCTAGTTACTTTCAAACTCTGTCGAAAACGCTATTTTACATAACAGAAAAGAAATCAAGCAAATTTATTTTTCAGTCTAACACTACTAGTCTCAACATTGTTTGCGTTTATCTACACAGTAATTAGCAAATACTCATTATAAAACGATTTAACATGAAGATATGTACGGTATGTAAAGAGATATTACAGTTAAAAAAGATTCACTTTGTAATCTCATGCCAGTAGAAGTAATTTCTTAAACTATACCAAGTAGAAAGAAAAAAAAACTTGTTGAGTTTCCTGCTGTACAATTACATTCGCTGACTTGAATATCGTAAGTACTATGATTTCTTTTGAGTAATATAAAAACTGAGCTTTAAGATTAATTACTCATTTAGTTGAACAGAAAGCAATGTCTTTTCAGAAAATAACTAACAGCATCAGTTATTAAAAAACAGAAAATTTAAATCCTGTCACAACAAGGGACCATTTGATTCAACAACTCAAAATTTTAAAGCTAAAAGGTAAATTTTTACTTTTCAATATTTAAAATATTTTTTAAATTATATGGATTAACAAACATAGTATGCAACAATAATGTATGGCAGAAACCCATTTTGTTTGATACAATAAGCTATAACTCAATCGATTTTTGTTTATTAAAGTTAACGAATTTTTTTTTTTCTTAATGAGGCTTATGTCAGGTTTTTTAGATCTCTTTAAAAATAATTTATTTGTATATCTTTAACCATAAATATTAAAGTATAAAACATTTTTTGTTTTACTAACATAAAAAAATGTATCTGTAATTTATTGTAACTAAAGTTCCTACACTATATTTCCTACACACTAATTCAAAAACTCACTTCTTACTTACAAGGTTATGTTCAGGGGTTGACTTCAAACAATATTGTGTAGTCATCTGGCATATCAATTAATAAGTTGTTTTAAATAAAAACTAAACACAAGGATAGACAGAACAACGATAAAGCTATTGTACTACTGCATGAAAAAGGTAGTCCTAAAATTGGCAGAAATAAGAAATCGAAACTGAACTGTGAAAAGAAGTTTCATATAGTTGTACCAGTCAAGGTTCAAAAAATTAATAAAAAGTTATGTTACAAGAGCAAATTTGATAGAGATAAATTCACGTAATAAAGGCCGTAACACTTGAGATTACAAGGCTATGGATTATTTTTTACATACGTGTTTATTCGACATTACACACTCGTTCAACACACATACTGCAATACTTGAATCTGCAATCTATAATACATTTTTCAATAAATATTTTAAATCATGTAATTTATCTTTCAAAGTATCTGATTACCAAAGTCATCGATAAATAATCTACATTAATTAATTTCTTTGTCCACAAGGTAACAACTTCTGCAATGTTCCCAAGTAGCAGTCAAGATTCCAGCCGTAGTCTTACAGCTCATAAGACAGTTCTTGTGGATAAAAAGCCCTTTTACTGCTGTGTATGCCAAAAAGGTTTTTACCGTAAGTTTTGTCTTCTACAACACGAGCGTATTCACAAACAAGAGAAGCCTTATTGCTGTGACGTTTGCTCACAAAGTTTCACCCAGAGACCACATCTTATCACACATCAGCGCATTCATACGAGAGAAAAACCTTACAGATGCCAAATATGCTCACAATCTTTTCGTAAAAAATACAATCAAACGAGACATGAGCGCACCCACACGAAAGAAGAAAAACCTTACAGCTGCACAAAATGTTCACGAGTCTTTAATGACACGAGCTATCTTCGAAAGCATTACCGCACTCATACAAAAAAAAGCAACATGATGGAAGACATGGACTCTAAGCATCCTTTTCCCTGCGATAAATGTCAAAAAAACTTTTATTCAAGAGGACGATTTAGTGACCTACGTAATCACTCAACACACTTTTCATTGTACAATGTGCTCACACGTTTTTACCCAAAGCGATGATCTTACAAGGCATATTAACTATTATCACAACAAGTATTGCACTGGATGCTTACAAACTTTTACTCAAATCAAAGATCTGATGGAGCACATTGAGTCCCAGCATTTTTTCCGTTGTGATGTATGCCAGCGCAATTTTACAACATCTTTCAATCTCACGAGACACAGACTGTATCTTCATAATAAGCATTAGTTCAATGGCATATCATACCTCATTAGAGCTTATTTACTAAATCTAGACTAAAAAGGTCATACGATAGAATGAGTCAAAATTTTGATTAAATATCAGTTTTCAATTTCCTACATGATATAAAATTCATAAAAGCTTTCGTGGGCAAAATTCTTTCTGATTTTTGATTATTATAACATCGATTTATGATATATCAAAAATATTTAATCCACAACTGAAATATGATTATTATAGTTGAGAATGTATTTGATAAAAAAATGGTTTTTTTTAATCAACAAATTTTATATTAAAAGAAAAAAAATTAATCTATGGTTTTTTCAAGTTCTAAACATTACAAAAAGTCTATATTTTCTTTTTTGCTACTAATCATGTTGAAGTTTATTTCCTGATTTAAAAAAATGTTCCGAGAGTTTTTTTGTAAATAAAAAGTCCGACCATATCACAAATAAAGACAACTATAGTTCAAGAAAAAAAGTTTATTTAGTTACATTAAAATTTCACTCATAACCCATTACTGATTCCCAATCCTTTATTGTTTATAAAATGTATAAAATGTATATGAATAACACAAAGTTAATAAATCTTCTGTTGACATAAAAACAGCTCTGTAAAGCCAACTTTTACAAGGATTGGGTATTTTTATAATCTTCTTATGTCGGCTTAATCTGTTTGCCTTAATAAGCATCTATACCTTTCCTTTGTCACATCCACATCATTTCCAAAAAATAATTAGAAGATAAAGACGTAGTAATTTGTATATTTTTGTATTATTCTATATTTTATATAAATCCAAATGGTGTGTCTAAAATCAAGTTACAAATCTTATAATTTATGTACATGTCTGAGGATGTATTAAATTTACATCTCAATTTTGATTAAATAATACTAATAGAATAAATGAAAATTTGAACAATGTGCAGAAATAATGATCACTCAATCAATATTTTATTGGATAAACACGATATTTTGGACGCATAGGCAATAATTATACAATTCTCTCCAGATTCTACAATATCAACTAAATACCTTCGGAAACTTTAATAAAAAAGTACAACACAACATGAAACTAATACAGAGACGATGAAACTACAGTAAAACTATTAATGTTAATACTGGCTGAGACTTTTTTGAAAAATACAGATTACAGTCAACTCTGAACTGATAAGGTGCCAACAAGAAAACGAATTTTGTTTGTATTTTAGCCACTAAAGAAGGCTCTTGTACTTTTAATTGTGTTATAGAAACATGATGATGTTCACACTGAATATTGATAGAGTGACCATTTGTCTTTTGAATTATAATCTAATATATTTTTGACATACATGCACTTATTTGTTAAGTTGTATCTTAATGTTGTTATAAATGTTTTTTTTTCCTCTAAGTCCTATGGCTTCATAGTGCAAAAGGCCTCGTAAAAGACAAAAAAAAAAAAAAATCAAGTGTACATATCTGCACTATAGACTGATATTTCATAAAAAGATATTTTTAAAAAATCAGTAGCTCTAAGGCCTTAAAAGTACCATCAGCTCAACATTAATCCACACTAACTGTAACCCAACCGCAAACAGACAGCTTCAAGGGTTGAAAACGCATATAATATAACAAAACATCTATCCCACCTAATGACACCTCTTCGGGCGTAACTAATCGTAGTTGCAAACGACTAAACTAAGTCAACTTACGCATCCTGCAAACCCTGACAACAAATGCCAAAGACAAGCATGCCAGTTTGGATCCTAGAGAGATAGCAAAATGATAAAAAAGAAAGAACAAAAATACCAGCAAAGACACACTGGATCTGTATATGTAGGAGGAGAGAGAAGAGAAAGGGCATGGTTCTTGAGCCTTTGGCTGTGCATCACTAGAAACGGTAAAAGCCAAAAGAGCGACCTGGAGAGGGCAAAGAGCAAACTTACAGTCGTGTGCACGTGTGTAGTCACCTATGTTAGAGATGCACGTGCGTTGGAGTTGTTGAAAAGGACAAGGAGTAAGACGTAGAGATGGCAAAGGAGGAGTACACAGGGTGTCGCCGTCAACGACGTCTCGCGAGCGTAAGTAAGTATGGGCACATATGCGTTGCACACGGAAAAGAGGAAGAGAAAGATGGATGGATGGATGGGGGGGAAGGAGAGGTAGAGGACTTGAAGTGAGCACCCAGACTTGGAGTCGGTCTCACAGCAGAGTGATCACAAGGATTGCGAGCAAACGGATGCAGCCACCACGACGATGTACTCGGAGGTATGGAGCAGAATATAAGGAGGGAAGCCATGGGGATAGGGAAGCTGAAGATCGCCTTCTCGTAAATCGCGTCAGAGATCAAACACCCCCAGCAGTTGTATATTAAACGTGACTGCTTCTCTCTCGCTCTCTTCCCATTTCTGCAGTGTATAGTAGTATATCGCGTGTGTTTGTGAGCACGAGATCTGTGCACGGATGCTGCACTCAGGCGCTTCAGCCCGACTGACTACGAATCGGATGTGCTCCCGAGAGTTTCGTGGAATCCCAAAAATCTTCGCTCGCGTGTGTGCGTTTGCTTGCTCGTCTGAGCATACCTTGATTCCTTCTGATATGAAGCAGCGGTACTTATGTGTGCGCTTACATGTAGACACCTGCGTGGATCTCGGCGGCTTTCATTAAAACTGCATGCTCGTCTTTTTTTTCCCCGTCCTAGTCTGTCGTAGGGAAGGATCGTTAATACTGTTTGAGCCCCATGAAAGCCGCTGCTATTACAGCATGCATCAGTGTAATGCATTTTTTTGAATTTACGATTATTTTTTAGTGGAGGGACTAAACTTTTTTTTCTCTTTCATGTGAAGGGCTGAGCGTTGTTTACATCCAAGCATTCGTTTGCGAATGTAAAGAAAGTAGACACATGAGATACATAAATGTTTAGTCAATCCAGGCGAAACAGGATGAATGATTGTAGAACCTGTTTTTCGTTTCATTTTGTGAAAATGGATCAAAAATTCATTCGGATTCGGTGAAAGCTTCACAAGTTTATTCAACTATTAAAAGTGTGTATTTTTTAGCTGTTGAAATCCGACAAAATTTTTCCATCACTTTTTCCAAGTTAATCGTTCTAAGAACAACATCATTTTGTAAGACATCCCCAGAAACCTTAAATAAAAATAGTTCCTCCTAAGTAATTCTCTATCAATCATAAAAGTTCATGATTTGTACCAATTCGTGAGCGTTATAAGGTGATTGCTTCCACATGTATAAACACATTAAAGGGCACAAGTCCTATTTACAGTGCATTGATAAGCAAATACTTTTTTTTTTATTAAGTACCAAAGCGCGGAGCGTACTTATCCTATAAATAACATGGGAACAAAGTATACACGGTAACTAACCTGACTGAGTGGCCGAATGCGCTCGTGAATGGATTTCTCGGCTTGGAGGGCCGAGGGTGGCGGATGGTCGGGCGTGGGTGGCTGGGCGTAGTGGGTCGGGCTCGTGGGCAGGAGCATCTGCACGCGCTTGAGCCTCTTGTCGGTGGCCTCCTCCGGCCCGTCCCTCTTCGAATCGTCGAGCAGGCTCTCTTGGGACGACTTGAGGGTGAAGAAGGCGCTGGAAACGTAGGTCGCCCTCTCCGGGCCACCCTCGCTCCCGGGCGACTTGTCCGCCACGGGGCTACTGTCCATCTCGTAGTTCTCATGGCCCGAGTAACGCTCGTAGGCGTGTCTGCGTAGCTTCCGTCGTGGGTTCGTCACCCGCATCGGTCTGTTCCCGTGGAGCGAGGTTATGGCAACCGGCTCGGCGTCGCTCTCTGCCGGGCGGTGCTCGCCCCGGGGCTTCATGTCCACGTATTGGTCGACGCTGCGGGTGACGTGGCGCAGCTGGCCACGGCGGGCCTGCAGCTCCTCCAGGTCGATCTGACCCCGGCCGGCGCCACCCGTGCGGGCCAGAAACAAGTATTCGTAGTTACCCGGGCCCACGTGGCCGTCGACCGAAAGCGACATTTGGCTCTGCAGGTGGGTCGGGGATACGGAGAGGTTGCGCCGGGGTGGCTTCTTCGGGGGTGTTGGCTGCAAATGCGACGGAACGCCGCCATTCTGTATACACAACACAACGGGACTGTTTGGTGCAAGGTGGCTACGTGCGTTTACCAATTTATCATGCTTTGTTTCCTCAAAGTAGCGCAGACTGAGAAACAAGTTTGTTGAAGTATAGGGTTAATTCTGCCACAGATTTTAATTTTAAGAGTAAAGCTCCGCTTTGCTTGAGTATACCTTCTCGTGTACGAGTCTATGCATACAAATGGAAATAAAAAAAAAAAAAACTGTGTTCCGTCTTAACTCAAATACTTATTTATAACTTAAGATAGAGCTTCGGAAACGTAAGCAATCATTAACCAGCATGATATTTTGCCCACAAATTGCTGTGTTAACTGTTTATTTATAATGCATTTTAAAAAATGTATATTCTGATGTTTCAAACTTAAAATTTGTATGAACCAATTACGTCGACAATAACAAAAAGAAAAGTTGTAATCAAATGTGCGAGTGCAATAGTGTTCTAGTCTCTAGTTGAGTAAATTCAATGAAAAATAAACAAAATTTCCGGGAAATGCATAATGATAGAAAACAGAAAGCAATCCTTACCGAAACCTTACTGCTGGAGGCGGGACTGTGCAATGAATTGGAGATGGGTCCCATCGGTAGATAGATTCCCGATGACGAGGCATCACTGGGTATGCAGCGTCGATCCCGTGGACTTGGACCGCCTATGCTCGACGACGAGGACACGCTCAGCTGGTCAGATTCGCGACCACCGTAGCAGCCTGGAGTCAGGGACAGCTGATCCTCGGAAGCGTAGCCACCACTGGTGACATCGATACCTCGGGAGACCGGCGGTATTTGGTAAAGGCCGCTGTCCGAACCCCTGTGATTCACATGTGCACAAAATTCGAGTTTACTAAGTGACGTGCGAGGGGAAAACGTTTATGTTCTACTACCACTTGCTCTTTTTTTTTTTAATTCGGTAATAAATGTTATCTCAGCGTACAGATACTGTCAAGTTACATATTTACATTAGACATAATTATGTTTGTGTGTACGTATGTAGGTATGTTACGATGCAATGGACATACCTATAATACTTATCGGCAGTGTCTAGTCGTGGTGTTATTTTTCATCTTACCTCAGATTGAATAGATTGAGCCACAATTATTTTGATGAGTAAAGTATGTGTTATTTTCTACGTGTAATATTCTACAAACTAGATTTATTTCAAAGATGATTTGTCATACGAAACAGAAACTCTGATAATTTGTATCTTTGCATTATTTTAACAATGGAATACATATTAGTATTTGATTAAATCACTCCACGACTAAATATCCTTTTCTAGGACACAATTTTTTTTTTTTAATCGCCAAACGCTCCCATGGATTCATCGACAAAATCATCTTAAAAACATTACAAGTTATTTTTCTACGACTATCAAATCCTACCATCCAATAATTTATCAAATCCAAGTTTTAACATCATAACTCGAGCAAACATGAGATCTATGGGTTTTGAGGGAAAGCCATTCAGTGGAGTACAATTCGTATATGCTAGGATAACAAACGAGAAACTCATACATTGGTACAGAAGAAGAGGGTAAGAAGTGGCGGCGCAGCATACCGTATAGTGTCTCGTGACGGTGTTATGATCAGGGTGGTGATGGTGGTGTTGATGGTGGTGGTGGTAGTGTTAAGTGGTCTGTCTTCGGGTGTTTGGTCTGAGCTTGCGAGGGTGTTTATCGAGTTCAGTGTGTCGGACATTGACATTGACATAAAGACACTGTCAAAGACAGAACTTAGGCCCGAGTCCTCGGTCAGGTGGAGGTGCCTCCATGCATCCTCGTCCAGTATTTCACCCGAGTAAGACTCCTCTTCGCTGAAACGTCGCAATTTTGTTTTCCCATCAGCTACCATTCACACCCGCAGCTTTTCTTCCATTTTTACTGTACTATGATCCACCTTTACGCTTTTATGACTCACAAATTGTTTTTTATACTGCACAACGCTAGTTACTCGAGCAAACAACGCAATTCGATTTTTATTTTTTAGTATTGCTTATACATTACAGCGAAATTATCCATCATCACTTCGTATTATTCTGCTTGTGTTTTGGTAGTAATATATTTTAAGATGTATAGATTTTATTCTATAAACCATTGCATTTGAAATTTTTATGTGCACATATATGTATTTTTACTTTTAGATGGAATTTTCATTAATGCAGGTGCTTCCAATTATTTTTTTTATTCGTTGATTTAGTAATAAGGATATCTAATTAGATTATTTATTATTCATTGGCACACTTAAAGCAACATGAATCGCAGTGAATGAGCAATCCAGTTAAAACAAAAAAGTAACACACAATAAAGACAAAAAAAAAAAAACTACAACAAAAAAACAAAAAAAGCTTACGAGCTGAAGATTACACGAACTTATATGTACTAAAAAGCAAGGGAAAAAAGATACCACATGAAAAGAGGAAGTTTTTTTATGATCTCTCGACTCGCACTGCAACCCTTGCCAAAAAAAATCTTGCGATTTGCAAGAAAACCTTGTAGCTTGGAAGTACGAATTTTCATCCAATCGATTTCATCCTACTTCATTAAATACACTAAGTAAATTAATCATAGGATGCTGACTTCACTGAATATAATTCAATAATTTAAAAGCTGATTAAAATTCTTCAGTAAAAATTGAAATGTAAATATTTTATTTTTGTTTAGGTTTTAAGATTCAGATGTTTATTTTAAGCCACGTTGATAATATTTCATTATGGGATGGAATTTGAAAAATAATTAACATCTAAGAGCAAAAGTTTTAAAAATTCAAAATATTCAAGTAACCACAATTTTCACGATTGCACAGCTTTTATTCTCATAACGACAAACAACGAGGAACAACAGCTTCGTCAAAACGTAGGCAGAAAACAGAGGTGGCTTTGGTTTACCTCGACAATTAAAAAGTCGATGTAAACGAGAAAAATACCATTCCTGGAAACACTAGAACAGTGGAGCGGTGGAAAAAAACGCGAATAAAAAGAGCCGAAAAAAAGGGGGCAGAGGAATGATTTTAATGAAAGTAGCTCGAGCAAGATATTTTACACACAAAGAGAGGGCACAGCGCGTATCCACCGTGATGGATATACATGTATAAATTTGCTAGGAGCAGTAAAATATTACCCAACAGGCAAGCTAGCCGAGGCATAGGGTGGCGAGCGGGATTTTTCCTCCTCCAGGCTGCTGCCGTACCTCTCTCTCTCTCTCTTTTGCTCACGCGTGTATACGTACAGAAAACCAGCGAGCATTTTTCGAAAAAGACGAACGGCCCAGCGATGCGAGCATGGGCTGCACGCTCGAGCTATTTTCGCGCAAATGGTGGAGGTAGGCAGAGCTTTCCTGGGAAAGATTGAGATTAAAATTGCTGAGGGATTCTTCCCAACCCTCGAAACACGTGCGAGGCCGAGTGCTCGTCCTCGTTGAAAACACTCGATGATATCCTTGCGCGGGTTTGGGTATGAGCGTGCAGAGCGAGCAAGTCTTGGCGAAGGTGAAAAACCATTTTTTTCAGATAAGGATTCGGAAAATTAGATGAGGACAATTAGATTTGGGTTATGATGGGGCTTGGGCGATCAATTGTTGACGAAATGGGCTATTTATGAGATTATTCAGCTCTATTTGTGTTATTGAGACCAACAGCATAAACATGCAATAAAAAATACTAAGAGAAAAAATAGGTCCTGTAACTACTTGGTTGTTAACTATTTTTATCGTTATTCTTGGTTATTTTTATTATTGAAATTATCAACTGATTATTTTTTAATTTTAGTGTGCCAAACTATCAAGTTATTTAGAGAAATATTAGCTTTGACAAGAATTCGAAAACAAACATAAATCATAGTACTCTAGGTGATCTAAGCATAGCATCGGTTGTTCTTTCATTTTTTTATCATTTTATATTTGAAGATAACGCAGACTCACAATTTTTTTTTATGCTCCTAAAACGACATACGATCTTCAAAGTATTTTTTAGGTCTGATTACAAATACGGACTTACTGTAGCTTGACTGTTAAACTTTATTGCAAAAACCATTTCAACTCGATAAATCAAATACAATAACCAACTTCATCTGAGCTTTTAAAATCATCAATCAAACCTAAGGCATTAACTTTGTAGTCTCCTAACGTAACCCTAGAAATATTCGATCAAACTCTATGAACCAGTTTTACAAATTTGTTACCCTTCTTTAGTTGAATTTTTTTAGTTTAAGTAAGATAAACATCGATATAGTGAAGGACTTATAGGTTTAGAGGCTATAAGTTGAAAAAGCTTGAGTCAAGGACTTTATAGGATTGGGTTAGCCACTGAGTTTATAAGTTTCACTTATTAGGTTTATATACTTTCCAAATTAAGATTCATCAATCAAGCAAATCTAAGCTTTAATTCATTGTTAGTGACATAAAATCTAATAAGAGACGTAATTTGGTGTCCTGCATAAAAAAAAACTTTTTTAGTTTTGTATTAAAATGTCAATAATTATTTCTTGAAAAAATTCCTACTGCAGTTTTGTAATCGTCGACAAGTGAGTTTTGAATATTGTATACAAAAAGTTATTCAATGGCTATTTAGACGCTTAGAAGACCTCACTACAATTTCCGTTGATGAGTTAAAATTTAAATGCATGCTGCACTTTTGTTAGTGAGTATGTATCATATGATGTATAAATGTGCAATGTTCATTGTATGATAATGTATCAAAAACGACAGATAAAAAGCACAGTCTTTGAAAGGTATTAGACATCAAATTAAGAAAATCAAGAATGTAAGAATTAAATTTGTAGCATAAATATGTGTAAGAAAAATTAAAAAAAAAAAAAGAAATAGGCATGAATTGCCAAAGTTACGAAACAAAAATATTGTCCAACGGACTTAAATAAAATAAGCCTTTTAGTTTGATATAATAGCCAAAAATTCTTACTCAGTGATTAAAAAAAAAAAAAAAAAAAAAAAATCAATGAAGCAACATCAAAACGTCTAAAGATGTACAAACGGAGTATTGAAACTTACAGTGACATCGCAGAGTTGGCCGATACCCGGCGATCATCGTCTCGGGGCTTGTGGTACAGCTGCCACCGCGAGGGCGATGATCGCTCTCCAATCGAAGGATCCATAGGGGACAGGTCATCACCAGGTCGCACATTTTCATACGGGCTACCCAGCGAGTTGCTGCCTTGCACAGGAATTGGCGGTAAATTCTCACTCTCGGCGTCACTTTCGATTCCGCACGACGCGCGATGTCCTTCGCCAAATCGTTTCAAAGACGATATAGTTAACTCGTTCTTCTTCAACATTTTGAATGTCTTAGCGATCACAACAGTACTTACTTTTGATCACAGCAGTTATGTCCTGGGTCACGTGCACCGGAAACTGGCTGAGCAAGTCGAGCACCGTGTTGTGCCGCGAGTCTTTTATCGAGAGGTCCACTCCTCGATCCAGGAGCGTCCTCACGACTTCCATTTTACCGCAAAGCGCCGCTTCGTGCATCGCCGTCCCCGCTGACGTCCGAGTGTTGACGTCCACACCTGCATCGAGCAACACCTCCACGCAAGCTCTGTAACAAAAAATTGATGTTTGCAATTAGAAAAAAAAAAATTTTTTTTTTAATTATTATATTCTATGTTTTTTATTACAACAAGCATCACGTATTTGGATTACGTCGTAGATTGGCCCTATGATAGCACAGGTATTTATGGTGTTTTTTTGCATGTACAAATCGTGAAAAAATATTGCTATCGTTTCACCTTTTATATATAGGCCATTACTAGTGACTTATAATAGGGCTCCCGTTATTGCAGTGTGCCATGATAAGCTACTAAACCTCAAATGAGCTGCGCCAGTTCGATTGTGAGAAATAACAAAAAAACTCTCATGGGTTTCAGCGAATCGACAAGTGTTTTAACATTGGAAAAGCTATACGTGCAGCCAAAAGTCAAATCGTAACGACTTACGTCCGGGTTGTTGGCCACATGGTACACGCGAGCCGCAAATATAGGGGGGGGGGGGTATGGAGCGAGCGGGGGCAGTCGATTTCCCAATCGCTGGGACCAGGAAAGAAGTGAAAGCTCCTGGCAAAACAGCAACGAGTGCATTCGTTTGTGCACAAACATACGTACGAGTGCACCGAGCGATTCGCGCGATCGCATTACAAGCGAGGCGTTGGTGAAGCGATTAGCCGGACATGATGATAGCACAGGCTCGCTTTCAATTGGAAAAAAGTGGGAGACGAAGCGAGCGATTTCCATTAGTCGTCGGCGGCCAACGCGGGTGCAGATTATTTTAAAGGCTTACCGACCGGATTACCAATGGTGCCGCACGGACCGGCCTCGTCGCCGCACGCGTTAAGTGCCACGCACCATCGAGTTTAGGCCGCGATTATATTATTTCCGTGATCGGATTTGCTGGCTACTGTTGTTGCTTCGTTCTGCTGTGGGCGCAGCGTTTCACACGATTTTGCGTATAGGAGTATGAACAGTGGGGACTTTTTTTGGTGGATACGAGCAAGGACAGCGGTTACGTTATGTATACGATCGATTGGTTGTTGCTGATGCGATGAAAAGAGGATGAGATGCAATTGTTTCAAGTTCTTTTGTCTGGAAGTATCCGATGTATGGTTTTTTATACATTGGTATTTTGTTGCGAAATAATAATTGACACGGATTTGTAATTTTCTGTCAGTAGATTCTGGTCGTTTCATTAACTTATCATATCTCCACGGATTTCAATTTAAAACTTAGAATCAGTGAAAATTGTAAGATGGACGTTACCCTACTAAATCATAAGTAGCTTTTAAAAAAATGCGATACAGCATCATTAAACCTACGAAAGTAAAATTAGTCAGCATTTCTAGCATTGGGAGACTAATTCTCTATTTTTCCCTTCCTTCCTTTACACCCTTCTTAGTTGCTGTAAAAACTGGAAATCTTTTCAATGATCACAAAAATGAACATAGAAGCATGTTCTGTCTTTTGGATGCTTGGACTCTTGTATCAAGTAGGAAAAATTTCTTTTAAAATGTAACAAGCGAACAAAGTTTTCGTTACTTCTAAAGTATATTTCGTAAAGAATGAGGGTATATTGTAATCACGTAACTGTACGTACGTTACTCTGTCAATTACAACTGTATAGTACTTATCTTAATTAATAAAGAAAACAATATGCTGTGTACCATATAAATTTTCCCTGTAACTTTCCTTTTCTTTCAATATTCATAGCCACATATCGTAATTCAAATAAAGTATTTTCATTAACAGCCAAGCAGTAGCCGGACAAATGTTGGTCACAGGGTATATAAGATCAAAACTTAATATGTATTAACCGTAAGTAAGTCCATCGCACCAACACCGAAAGTTCTTATAAAAGAGCCCAAAATATCATTCACTATTTGCTCGGAGAACCCCTAGCAAAGCGTAAGAGTCCTTGTGCACGCCCACAGAGTAAACACAATATCCATAGCCAAAAGCTCGCCAGCGGTACATGTAGGATATGGCAGTCTGCTGAGAACGGCTACTTTCTCCCTGTATATACGGAATGTATCTCGGTACCCCTGATGCGTTGTATCACATAACGGGCGATTCGCAAAGAGACGTGCCCATACGTCCATACGTTATGTGTACACAGTACTATAGTTACAGATCCTCACTGAAGAGAGGCAGAGAGAGCTTGCGTGAGAATCTGGATGTAGATTCGAGTTAATACGATTCTCCGGAGGAAGGGAGGAGGGAGCTATCGGCTGGGATCCAGCGACGCGCGCGAATGACCATAGCCCGGTATGGGATCGGACAGAGCGGAGGATATACATATGTATATGGGTGTGCACGAATCCCCAGCAGAGGGGCCCAGGGAGGATGGACTCCGCGTTTGGAATTTCGAGTCTGCGTCCATGCGTGTATCGGCAAAGCTTCGACGTAATATCGGCCCCCAACCATCGACGTGATTGCGCAAGCTGCGTTCCAGCTTTACTTGCACCCGTTCGTGTGATACCTGCATGCCTGCGTGTGTGTGACCACTAGCCCCTTCCGTTGTTCTGATTTGACTCTCATCTCGTTATTCCCCGTATATACAACAACTCGGCTCTGTACCCTTATTTCCTCATGGCTCCTCTGCTGGCCTCCCTTCGGTCCATATCCACAACTCACCAGATGCATGCGTCCTGTGCTTCTATCGAGGCTTCCATTGTAATTGCAAATTGATTGCAAACTTGCTCTTCAGCTCTTTCCAAACGCCATCTTTCTATTTATCATAAACGCCAATGATAAAAGTATCGCTGTATCGAGTATACACTTCATTGGATCGAGCCGATTATCCTCACTACGTATTTGCATAATAATTCGCAGCTAGCTGCTATTTTTGACTCCTAGACTCCTCATTGCACTATGCATTTTTTCGATCCGTATGTGATAAATACGTAAATAACATGCTACGTTGCTTGGTTCCTTATTCGGTTTGAGCTGCATTAATCATGGAATTAACGACTCAAGTAATAAAAAATACAATTCAAACGCATCTTATAGATGGCGTTTACATAAATATGCAAAGGTGAAGTAAAGCCACAACATTCACTTAGTTATTGTTTGATCCAGAACATAATATATCTAACAGTTGTTAGGATAAGAGTTATGCAGTACGCATCAAGCACTGAAAAACTGTATGTACCACGTACAAATTAATCTTCGATAATGATGAAAGATAGATGGCAATTTCACCTCTGCAAAATTTTAAGTGGAGTAAAAATTAAAACTGCATGAATATAACATGTAAATATATGTTAGCACGTCAAAGGAACAAAAAAAATATTAGTATGGAACTTAATAAGCTAATAATTAACAAGAAAAACAATAATTTTTGTAACTGAATGCCTTGCATTATTCAAAAAAATGTATTTTCTAGATTCTTAAGTTATGAAACTACTTCTATTACCTCACCGTTTTAATAAAATGTTATTATTATTTACTTACTGTTATTTTAAATAATTATTTACATGATAGTTAAGTACAACAAACAAATCCTTTTATTCCAACGAATTATTAATAGCAATCAAAGTAATTATTCTAACGATTAAAAATCAAACAGATATTAACAAAAGATACAACGCGTTTTGAGTAAAAATTTTCATTATAGTTGTCAACAAGTTGCAAACCCTTATCACTTCACAACCATTTGTAAATATTGATTTTGACACTTATTTATTATAATATTAGTTTATAAGGAAAAAAAATTATATCTGCTGTTAATGCACTGTCAAGGGTTTTAGCTCATTTCAAAATTACACTGACACAAAAAAAATAATAAAAACTAATGTGCTAGAATGGTAATCTGATGTCATTTCTCAGTCTAGGGACTTTTTATTTTTTTTCAACTTAGTTTTTTCTATTCTGTACAGTAATTTGTATCGATATGAACAGTAAAAATGATTGTACCTACGATAAAAATTTCTGTTGCAACTGGTAAAAAAGTTTCTAGATGGCTTAACAGTACCAAATAACCATATAAGCACAGTAAGTTTTATTTTTTTCTTTCAACGTACTATACTAAAAATAGTTGCACAGTACCATTCTGACGTACGCTAACATTCTTAAAAAGTTTGCTTCAGTAGTGTGAATGGCTATGACTGTAAACAGCTATTCTCAACTTATAACAAGCATAAACGTTCCTGGGTAGATTGAATAAAAATTTTACAAAAGATGTATCTCATTATCTAGTCTGCAAGAGCAGCAGAATTTTCTAACCTTAAATTCATTATGATATATATTTTGAAGGAATTTCAACAGTATTTCTTCAAATTTCATCATCAGATATTTTTAAAGAGACTTTCACAACACTTACAAGATAAAAAGGCGCTCTTAATTACACTTTAATTATTTTCCTAGATTGTGAGTTGTATTGGAAGGTTGGACGATGTGTACGTTAAACAATAATGTCTATTGGCTGAGTATTTATATTTTTTGACACTATAGGCGCTGTAGCTGTTGTCCAATCCCCTCCTAATACATTTTCATGGTAAATACTACATGTAGACGTACAAATACGTGTGTTCTGGCTTTGTTCTCTGCTACTGGTGTGCTTAGTAAATTTATCGCCGATATTAATGCTCCACAGCTACACGAAACTCATACTGATTCATTGCCGACTCTTAAGTATTCAAAAATACTTATTTTGTGCACCCGTAGCATTGATTGAGAGACGAGAGAAGACACAGCTAGTGGAATAAAATCTGTCTAACACCTTTTGTCACCGTAAGTAATAGATCCACCCTGTATACATATACTCATTCCTCTCTAGCTTTCCGTTTTAGTCCCTCTCAAATATGGATGTATATATATGTTTTTTTCATTGCTTGTTACTGTTTTTTACCTATCCTGTTGTTTCAAGTAAGCATTAAACACTGATTAGGAATATTTTATTTTTTCCCTGTGTACTTTAACCTCTCATATAAATCTTGTTTTAACCAATCCTCTATTTTATGTAATTTTTCCATTGTACAGTTATTTCAAAAGTTATATCTGACTTTGTCACTAAATGACGAAAGAACAGTAAAATTCTTATCTTTTTCTTTTCAAATATCATGCTACGTAGCCAGCGGTACATATCAGTGGCTCGGAAAAAGAAGCGCTATTTCACAATCACTGTGAATAAACGATATCTCAAGAATTTAGTTATTTTCTTAAACTTTGTAGTCCGATTATATTTCTACAATATTTAATGCAGAGAAGTATTAGTTGTTTCTTCAAAGGTAAAGTTTAAACACGAGAGCAGACCTAAGGTAAACTTTATGAGTAGTCGACACTAATTTTGTTACATGCTAGTGCATAAAATGGTGGACGCTTGATGTACGCGTTTTTCTTACTTCGGGGATTTAATTCTGTTTTCCACTATTCTACATGATCTTGCCTCTACAAAAGTATTCTTTGACTTCCAGTGAACAACTATCAACTAAACTTTAATAATTCATACTCTTCAGATTTTTTTGTAAGTAGCGAAAATTAGATCTACAAGTTTCAACACAATCTATTGTACGGAGTTTAGACATTTTCAATGTAAGTGTCAATAAAAATATGGACGATATCTCATTTTATCATCTAACAACACCATTGTCATTAGATAAAATAGTGTAAGACCATTCTTTATACTATGATCTTTCAACAGAACTTTTTTTTTCAATTTTCATATAATGGCCTTCATACTCTAACTGTTCGCCCATTAATAAGCGAAGAAGAAAAAGCAAAGTTAGTGTATTGTTAATGTCTAGTGCTTTCAATAAACTATATCTGAAAAATAATCTGCAGTTAATAAAGGTTTTAAGACCTCATAAGCCTCTAATAATTCATAGAATTAATTTTACGCTGCATATTGTTAAAAAACTTTTATATTTATTTTGTAAGAAAACACAAAACACGATTCATCAATAACTTTCAATTTTTACAGTTTATATAGACTAAATTTGGTCATTTAAATGTTTAGTCTAATTTCCTTAACTGTAAAGATTCGGTCTTTTTTATCATCTGTTTATTAAGCTCTTTTATTTGATTCAAATATGTTTATCGTTATTTGTAATAAATGCGTACGGCTATTTTAATGGTCACAAGTACAACTTTGAAACAGCGCCCTTAAACAAAAAAGTTAAGTACGTTTGGCCTTGCTTAATATAATATTAATGTGTACATCTACATACCTAACCAACTATAGTATATCTACATGTTCATACAGTTAAATATACGTATGAAGATATACTGATACGTTAAGCGAGGTCTAATACTCGAGGCTAATACTCCTACTATTAGACTTTCAATATTTTATCATTACTGCAGAACTAACCAAAAACTAACCTGTAAACTATTGAATCACAAACATAATATATTTCTACTTTTCTTAATTTCATTATTCCTATCTACATTTAAACCAACTTTTGTCACTCAGCATTTACTATACTCCTACTACCTTATATTAACCTTCTATAAAAGTGCGTTCTAATTCAGTTTGCTACAATCTCTGTTACCGTATTAACTGTTGAAGTTATTGTACTACTATTAATTTTTTTTAAATTATTTTTATTGCTTGGCTGTGTATGAATATGTACGTATTATAATATCTAAATGGCTGTTTGAGTCTAAATTGTATACTTTTGACAATTTTCGTCTTTTGTTTTGACATTGTCTTTTTTTTATTAATTTAGGTTGGCATCTTGCAACTATAACTGATCATTATGAATACTTTTAGAATTGTCTTGCTTGGAAATGAAAGTGTTGGAAAATCAGCACTTACTATTCGATTGCTTAAGAATTATTTTGAAGAAAAGTATGAACCAACAATTGAAGATATTTACCAGAAAAAGGTAATAAGTTGGAATAAAAAGCTGGTATATGATGGTTTTAGTTAGATGTATTTGATGTTTTACTAAAAAACTTAATTTTTTCATAGGTAGAAGTAGATAATCGATCATACTGTTTAGATATCCTGGACACAGCTGGTAAAGAAGAGTATACGGCTATGACGAATCTTTATATACGAGCAGGAGAAGGATTTATCCTGGTATTTGATGTTGATTCAACAAAAAGTTTTGAAGTAAGTTTGTAATATCAGTATTGTAAAACCATAAATATTTCCGAAGAGAACTAAAAAACTGCTATATTATTTTCAGGATATCCGTAAACATCGTGAAAAAATGAAGAAATTATTAGGAGAAAATCAAATGCCTATGGTATTAGTTGGGAACAAGTGCGATCTTCCAAAACCTTGGGCTGTCAATGTGACCCAAGCTATAGAAGAAGCAAAAGAGTATGGTATACCTTTCATTCAGACATCAGCCAAAACTGGAATGGGAGTCGATGACGTATTTAAAACTATGGTAAGTCACTATAGTGATTTTCCGTTAGTTAAAAATAATTTTTTTTTCTTTTTTTTTGTTCGAAGTGATTTATTTGTACGATTACATAAAATATGGTATATTTAAAAATTTTAGGTTCGAGAAATCCGGAAGGATAGGGAAATTCAACACGAGGCAGTGCTGCATTCCCTACGTAAGCGATAAATTGATAGATTCTTATTCAAACTATTAATGTAACAAGGCTCAGTACTGTTGTGCAAGAGTTATAAACATTATACGAAATAAAGTCTTACTAAAATATCATGCATTTCAAGAATAGGGATTTTTTTAACTTTTAGTTGTATTGAATCATAAATACTACAATTTTTAAGCAGTCATGGTAATCGAATTAACGAATGCTTTTAGTTGGACTTTGGCACTTAATGGACTCGTTTACTAAGAATCATCGTTTTAGCTGCTATGTGCAGGTTCTTGTCTTGGCTACCACCTTTGTAAAATCTCTGTCATAAGTGCTTAGATCAATCGTAGTCCAAAAAAATATCAGTGGCGGTTGTAGTATAACTGGTTTACAATAAATTCTGGTTGTTATTCATAATTCAGTGATAATAATAAATTATTGCATAGTAACACAATATTTAGAGTCGTAAAAAACTCTTAAATCGTCTTAAACTGAAATGTGAGGTATAAAAAAAATTTTACTGCGATAGTTAGTGTTTGAACAAAGGATTTGCATTGGACTAATGATAAAAATTTACAGATACATTTTTCATATAATCTTTCAAATATTTCCAATTAAATAAAACAATAATTTTTATTTTTTTATAATCATGTTTTACAACGTTTATAAAGACTAATGAGTTATATCTACAGTTATATTTGAAAACTTTGTCTGTATAGTTACTTATGTATATTCTCGCTTATTCTAGAACAAAAAATGTGACATAGTACGATATCATAACAGATGAAAACATTAATGAGTCAAATCTGAATCAGGTTTTATAATGTTAAAATTTACTACAAGAAATCCTTACGACTTACCCTGTCACAAAATTTTAATACGTAACATAAATTTTACATAATTATGTTGAGAAACGAAATTTGAATGTATTTTGACACTATTTATGAAATAAGATTTGCAGAGTCACAAATTATACCTATAAAATTATAAACATACGCTTAGTTACTGCCTAGAACGTAAAGTGTGAAGTGTAAAGTAAGGTGTGAAATCCTAACAAACAGTAAGCTTGGATTTATTACAATTGTGCATACTCGATTTTCAATTTATCTAGCCATATAATTTTTTCACGTTTACGGTGACAATAGTTTAATCAACACATTAAATGATTGTTGGAAAAACAAAACTGTTTGTTGGAGCTGCAACATGTTTGCATTAGAACTGTGAGACTAAAAGAATGTTTTCTGCTCAATAAGTTCGTTTTACAAAGTTATAGGGTAACGAAGATACTTCACAAAAAATTCAACGGCGTGATACATGAGGCTGACTTCTTTTTTAAATTCAGATCAAGAATTTCATTTTGGATCCAAATCAATAGGTAAAACTTAATAAAGATAGAATTTTCCATTACTGATGTACAACATAAAAAATTAAAAATATTTCTTGTATTTCTTCCTTTTTCTACATGCCAATTAATTATATTTATCTAATAGCAATAAGTATGATAAATAACGCTCTAACAAAAATGTCTAAGGCGAACGATGCAACAAAATTTGTTTAACTTATTGTTCTATGCATAGTAAGTGCAACGCTGTTGTGAGTGTGCTATTTCCAGGAATTGTATTAATATGTGAGTGTATTACTACCACCATCGTTGTATTTTCACGATATCAGTTTTCAGGAATCCTCAGTTACTAAGTGTGTTAGCAACACTGTACATTGAGTACTGCCATGCGCGGAGAATTTGTTCAACTTTCGTAAGTCCAACGATTACACAGATAATAGCTATAATAATGGCTAGTACATTAACTTATCAGTTTTTTTCAACATCGTACAAATATTTTAAACGTCGTTTATACTCGTTCATCTATAGACAGTCCACAATTTAGATTTTTTTTAGTGTATAATACGTGCTTACATGTCATCGAAACCCAGCAGTGGTTTGAAAAGAAGAAGCCATTTTAATATCATTACAAAACAAACGTTTTCTCAAAATGTTGTTATTCTCTCAGATTTAGTGATGTTCGACCACTGCTGTTGTATTAAATATTTAAAGCAATTATAAAGAAACAAATTTTTTTTCAGAGCAGTAAGAAGAAAGTTTTCTAACTTACCTCCAGATTCGATGGTCTACAGTATATTAAAATTTAAGAAATAACTATAATTTTGTAAGAAGAAGGGTAAACACCGATTGTCTGTCTTTCAAGAAATAAATCGAGCCTAAAATTGAGTTTTCCATTTCTTTTTCTTTTTTATCACTCATCTGAAATCAGCTGGTCGTTTAATAAATTTGTATGTTGGACTTCATTTTAGAAATAAATGTAATAAACCAATTTTTTTAATAAAATATTTTATTGCATTGGATACACTAAGAAATTGTGGAAAAAAATTCTACAGAAAATTTTTTACAAGCTATCCAGTGGGACGGTACTTTATCTTACCGTAATTAATATCGAAAAAAGATCTCTGTGAGAGTAAATCCAAATGGATCTATCGTTTATTTATGTCTTCGTTAATTTTTTTTTGTTAACAGACAACTGATTTTTATGAGTTTATGAAGAAAATTTTTTTTTGTACATTAAAAACGCAATTTCTATTTTTTTGTCTTTAAAACTTTGAAAAATCTGCTAAAATCATTGTATCAGTGCCGTATAACAGTCTTCAAGTTCAAAATCAATTTAGTTCCAATAAAGTTGCACGTTGAGTGAACCACACTTTAATAGAGCTGCATAGGTACGATAGTCTCCGTTGTTGGTGACCGTGTAAGAATATGCAAGATACATTTTCATGACAATGTGAGTGTATCATCACCAGTAAATACATAGATACAATATATACTCTTGCCACGGTTAAACTCTGTTGCATTGCTACCTCTGGGAAAGATACTTTGTTAACTAGCAGTCTTTTCAAGATCTAAAACTTAAGAAATCACGATTTTGGTGAATTCAAAATCCATCTTACGACCTTATTACCGTAAGTATCTGATACATCCTGTATATACGTATTCCTCTCTTTCAATCCCACAAATCTCTCTCTTGCTTTTCTAACTACTTTCGGCATTGTTGTTTCTGGACATGCATTAAACACTTGGTTTAGATTTTCAATTTATGTTGTGTGTCCAGCGTTTATGAGTCCCAGAGAGTTTACTTACTTAATTTGCATTACATACGCTGGTCAGTTATTTTTAATGTTGTACATGCCACACAGATATTACAAACTTTATCGAAATCACTTAGTGACAATTGGAAACTATGATGCTTATCTTTTTCATTTCAAATATTAGTATGTTAACTAGCCAGTGAAATGTATCAGCTGTTTGGACAAAAGTGCTACATAAAAATTATTAAGATTTTAGACTATTTTCCATAATTTCGTTGTGGCTCCATGGCTACTGTATCGAGCATAAGTACAACATTTTCTGGAGTGCAAGACTTTCTTGAGACGTGAAATCGAATACAAACGTGCTTCTTAGGTAAACTCAATAAATATCAACGCTATAAACATCATGTAAAAATATTATGTATGCGCCTAGTATAGGTTAAATTGTAAAATTCGACCGTCAAATTACATTCTATTGTTCACTACAGCTTAGTTATAATAACAGTCAGCATTCTGGTTGATATCTTACAAATTTTGGTGACATAAAAAAGTAGGTTTGTCACGCGCTATTAGTACTTGAGCAACTTTTTTATATTACTTAAACAAGAATATTTTTTTACAACTAACTTACTTATTTCAAGTTTGGTAACAAAGTTTAGGTAAATTAAAGGAGATGGAAATCAGTTTACATATGTTTCTTGATGTTACTTGAAAAAAACAAGTTACTTATTATAATAAATCAGCATTGCGGAAAATTGAGACCCGAAATTTGAATGGTATTTAAGGAGGTTCGGTAGTGATAATTTTTTATGATGAAAATTTTTGAAACTTCGACATGTTTGGGATAATAGTATCAAATTACAGCTAAATTTTTGACGGGTTTAACCACACCGTTTTCAAGATATATTGACCTGAAAAAACAATATTTTAACATGTAGGCTTATGGAGAAATCACTTTAATTTCACATTTAAAAAAAACGGCTAAATGAACTTGCTTTTTTTTTAAAATAAAAGAATATTGTCAAAATAATATTTTGTCAAAGTTTGAGAGAGCCCTACCACAAATTTCTATTAAAAAACAGCAAAAAATGTGCTCGCATCAGACGACTTGGCAACGCTGCTTTTGGCGCGCGCTTTGAAATTTAATGAAAAGTAAAAACTCCTTTTGTAATTGAAAATTTAATTATAAAAAATTTAACCGAATAAATAAGTACACTGTCATCAGTAGACGACGACAACAGCAGTAGACGACAACAACAGTAGACGACGTGCCAGCAGCTGAAAAAATTCACAACGTTGCCAGATGCTCTCCCTCCCCTTGCCTCTCTAAGATTTCCCCCTGCTAACACTACCGAACCTCCTTAAGTACAATAAGTAGTTAAGGAAGTTGGGGCAGTCTAACTCAACTTTAATCCATCAATTTAAAAAGAAAAAACAATTATTTCAGAGCAGTATTTATGTCCTCAACAATTTAAAAAAACACATTACAAAATATTGTTTTAAATACACCTCAAAAATTACATAAAATCTTATAAAAGTGGGATTCTTATTATGGATTTTATAAACTGCAACAGTACATAACAATAATTAGAACACATTATTAAAAATATGTTTAAGTAATAACATCTTTAAATATAATAATCATATTATCATACGACATATAATGGTAGTTTTAAAAAAAGTTTCTTGCATAGTTTTATTTAATTTTAAAAAACTTCTGATGTTCACAAGGCTAGCCTATGAGCTTGCCGTATTACGTAGCGTACTATCAAACTTTGTAAAATTTTTGATCACGAATACATGACAGTACAATATAGTGATATTCCAAATGTGAGATATTTCTGTTCCATATTGTGTTTTATGGATTAACCAACAGCTGTTTTTAACTTTAAAAAAGCACCGTAAACTTTCAGTACAAAATTATAAAGTAGTAGAAATTTTGTAGCCAATAAGATGATTAATAATTTTAATAGGAAAATTAGTCGTAAAGGCAATTTAATTTTGTACTCAATCCGATTAAACTTTACAGAAAAACAGCACTGATAGTGTCGTAAGCTTATCTTTTGAGCATATCTTTAAATTAAATTCTCTTTTCTATAGCTAGATAACTAATAATTTTTTTTGACGTTCGTTTATTTGTGTGTGTATTTACATATATTTATATTTTATTAATTTGTAATTTTTTTATTAATCCCTATATTTTCTTACCGTGTTACTTATTAACTCCAGTCGTTTCGTCCTTTTTGCTTTGATTTTTTAACTCTATAGCTCTGTAGTTAGTAACAAAATCATATGTATTATCTTGTTCGATATAAATTTTTATACACGTGTATTTTCTCTCATTGAAATTTTATTTGTAATATTCATACATTCTTTGTAGATTATTATCTTACGGTTATAAAAAAATTTCTCACTGATAATGCCTGAATACGAACTTGTCGTTGTGGGTAATGGTTGTGTTGGAAAGTCAGCACTCACCATACAAATAGTGAAAAATTATTTTAAAGATGAGTGTGATCCAACAATTGAAGACTCCTACAAGAAACAGGTAAAACGTTAAAATTAAGAAAAATTATGTATCTCTATTAAAATGTATTAAGTCGACTTACGTTCAATTATTAGGTGAGAATTGATGATGAGACATGCTTGTTGGATATATTAGACATTGCTGGTCAAGAAGATTTTTCTACTATGACAGACCAGTATTTGAGAATTGGAGACGGATTCATTCTCGTATTTTCCGTTGACTCGGCAAAAAGTTTTGACGTAAGTTAATCACTAATAATAACTTTTCATCGTGTACTTGCATAAATACTTGAAAAGAGAGATTTAAAAAACTGTCTCTCATTTTTATAGGATATTCATGAATATTATAAAAGAATAAGGAAAGTGAAAGATGTAGAAAAAGTACCCATGGTCTTGGTAGCAAACAAATGTGATCTGGAACAACCTTGGGCTGTCGACATAGCCGAAGCTAGAGGAATTGCAGAACTGTATGGTTTACCTTTTATCGAGACGTCGGCGAAAACGAGAAAGGGAGTTGAAGATGCATTCTTCGCTTTAGTAAGTCACTTTATTGTACCTTTTAATGTATTGGTAGATAAATCATAGAATTATCAGTTTTGTATGAAACTGCATGGAGTACTAAATGTTTTCTAAATTTTAGGTCAGAGAAATCCGAAAAGATAGAGACAAAGGAAAATCTAAGAAAGCAAAAATATTCAGACGCAGAAAAGGACAATGTTGTATTCTTTGAACGTTCCATGATTAAATTCTTATTCATGAGATGAACTGTAACGTAAGGATATGGATAACTTTTTATTCCGTTATAAAATTGATTTTATTATTATAGCATTATTTTTGGTTATTCATGCTTGTTTTATATTTTACCGTGCATGTAAATAAACTTTAAGAATTACAAGTATAGTTATTTTAATTCACTTTGAGCATCATTATATTTTTTCGTTTGTCTCTAAACTTAAAATTAATCATCGTAGCTAAACATTACTAGAAACATTTTTAAGTTTTTATATACATGTGTTTTATTTGTATGATAACGTAATAAATGTACGAATTTCGTTACAATATTGTGATGCATAAGTTGTAACTTTGAACAAAGTACAACTTAAAACAACTCAAACGCTACTTATGTAAATATTAATAAAAAATTTTGGAATGGCACATCCATCAAGAATTACAAAATCATTGCTTTACTGTGTTGAATCACTTTTTAAATGAAAATAAACATAGTAAATGTTTGAATGGATATCATCGTTATCATTTATACTCATGTCATATGATTGATAATACAAATTGATTCAGTAATGAGTCATACAAAAGTATTTGCAATGACTTATGTATTAATGGTGAGAGGTAGAAAACCAGTACATAGTAATACTTTCATAAGCTTACCTACCCTATAACAAGGAAGCACCAGTAAATTAATATGATCCAGAATCTCGTAAGTTATTGGACTGGGCGTGATGTGAATATTCATTTTATTTTTTGAAGTGAATCTGACATCAATATAAGGAAGTAACAAATAAAAGCCTGGTCTCTATAAATTTAAATAGTCTGGCTATCGATAATACCTCCATCCTTTGTAGGACTACATGAGTGGAGGTAATCGACTTCATACTCTGAGCAAGTAATTAGATACTCCCGGAAATGGGTTTGAAAGTATAGAATATGCTATTTTATCTAACCATGTAATGGCAGATTTTTAAATTAACAGTCAGAAATGAGAGCCAAGTACTAAATTGTACTGTCTACCACAGATTCATTAAAAAACAGACAGGTAGTGCCTTAATGAGGGATTGCTTGCTTAGATAAGAATTTTAAAAGAATTGGCAATGATAGGTGAAGAGCAGCCGCTGATATACTACTAGAATAATTAGCGAGTATAGTTCAGATCAGACACATGTATATTAGAACTGTTCATACTAATGAGGTTATCTCTGGGCTGAGTAAAAAATACCTAAGAAAAAGTACAGAAAAGCTGTTATGTCTGATAGAATAACGAGCTGAAAACCGTCCTAGATTGAAATTCCTCAGAAGACGTTGTGACGGAAAGTAAGGTCAAATGTGTCATGAAATCGTTCAACTCAATCTGATCTCTACATGTCTAAATGACATATTATACACCACACCTTTTTAATAAAGAGTGATTGTAGGAGGGATTGTAGACTCTTTGACTAAGGAAACCAGTCTGAATTTCAGAAGGAAGGTCGAAAAGATGGATTTTACATATTTATATTAAAGCAAAGCAGAATACAACGCAACTTGATAAAAGGCTTCAGTTCAATTAGCTTTACATTATTTCCACTGAAAGTTTAAAAAAATAGTGATAAAAAAGTTTGCAAAGGATATACTGCGAAAAAATCACTCTTGCCAGCAGATGTCAACATGTCGATCACTTATGGTAATGGAAGTCCTTGGACGCAACGTAAACTGCAGTGGTGTCTCACCTGGGAGGTGAATTCCAGAGTGACTCTGGAGAAGTTATGGCACTGATGTGGCATTTTGTAGGCCTGTACCGATAAAGTAGACATACTACATATTCGATAATCGTACATACTGATTCTTCAGGACAGAGGATTAAACATGGGAAGGTATAATGACACATAAAAATGTTCTTGTTTTTTTTAAACTAGGGATTCCTGCATATGAGGCTACGTAAATCACCCTACGATCATAATATTCACACTGGATATACCTACCCGCAAAGGAAGAGCACTCAAATCCCAGCACCAACTAGAGTCGCAAAGTTTCCGAATGAGTTTGCTGATAAACTCGAATAAGAGAAAGTTAATAATATTGTTCAAGTAAAATGAGTAACATAAAAGACGAAATGCAATATAATTTGTTAACAGATAAAGGTTTCGATTAGTGTTTACACAGTAATATCGACTGTAAAAATTATCTTAATTCGAGAAAGTTTAATATAAGAAATTTTGAGATAATGTACATGTCAATACTTTTCGAATACGTATAAAAAAGTAATGTTTTAAGTATTAAAAGAAAAAAAATCTTGAAATGATTGGTCTTTTTATATCATTGCAGATGACGTATTACTTTAAATTATTTTGAGATGATATATTATTACTAAAATTTCTTGGGATTAAACTTTACACAAGCTAAACAAAAATATGCACGTTATAACAAATATAAGCCCGTTAACACAGATCCACTCGTGTTTTTTTCTCAATTTTTCCACAAACCATTTGGAGTCAGCAGTATCACTAGAATCAATCAGCAATTTAAATTCGCAAACATTCAATTGCTGTAACGCTGGATACCCACCACGTGAACTCTGTAGCATATGATCTTCCACTACAATAGTACACAGTAGATATCAGAATCCAGTGTTGCACGTACGCGCATTATTTGTCAAAGTGAAATTTGGTGGAAGGTTCGATGTATCGAAAATCCAAGGTGAACCCCAAATATCAAGCGAAGGTCGGTGGGGAGGGCATACCGCAGGAATAGTATGGCTCTTTGGCAAACTACAGGGTGCAACGCGCAAATTGGCGTTAATTCGACGCCAGCTGTGTACTGGTATCGTGGGAGAACAAGACACGAGAGATATACGTGCGTAACGTGATATAAAATGGAGCTCGCGGTCGTGGGGTGTCGAGCACGCGCTTGTGTGCGGTTCACAGTATGGTAGCGGTCACCTGTGTACCCTATGCGTGTCAGCGCCATCGTTGAATCAGCTTCGTTCAAATAAACAGGACTGAAAAAACATCCGATGCTGATACAAACGGGAGCACATTATGGATCTAGTTTGATGTAGTCAAACGAGCTAAAGGACACTTCTTTATTTGATTCAGTATAGTGACTTTACTCACGTAGCTATTGCACTTTTAATATTGAATTTTTAATGATTAATTTTTTCGATTACGCATCGGTTCAGTTAAGGCGTGGGTAACTCGTAAAACTGGACGTTATTTGAATAAATTGACTCGTAGAGGTACTATTAATCGTGATCCGTGCCGTAGAAATGAAATAGATTGAGCACTGTCTACCCAATGAGGTTTAAAAATGGCAACTCTGCAGGCTTACGTTCAACACTGGATTAAGTTAGACAGGGATTCAGTCTAACTAATAATATTTAATATTAGACATATAACATTGAATGATTGAAAGCGTTCAGTGTTGGGGATAATGTCAATTGATGGCGAAGGTGAGTGAGGGCACAATAAGAAAGTTAACAGAATGAGTAAGTTAATATGTACTACTTACCGGTGGCCATTACGTGAAGCCAAGTGTAGAGGCGTGTGCGGAAAGATTAAAGAAGACGAGGCACTGCGCAGGGACTCAATTAGCTCGGGATGATTACGCACCAACAGCTCCACCGTGTCTAACCTGAGAACAATTGGAGCAGGTGGGATATCAGTACTTTTACCACGTGATCACGTATGATTTGTACACAAAATAATTTTCTGTGTGGCTAAGGTATTACGCTACTAACACAGACCAATAGTATCGCACAAATAATAAAATGCTTCATCGAAAATTCGATAGTAAAAGGTAAGTCCAAATAAATTTACAAATTGTACCATATGTGTAGTAATATAATTTACTTTCATAAGTACAAGCTGACGTTACGTGCCTTAAATGCAGAATCATACGTGTATTTTAAAAATTTTATTTAAAACTTTGAATTATCCATCTATTACATTATTATTCGCTGTACAAAAAATTTCCAAGGACTTAAGTGTTTATAGTTGAGAAGCTTAGAAAATGAAAAATGTAAATGTTTGTCTTACACTGCCGTCTTTTTGATGAAATCATGAAAAAGTTTAAAAATCGTATCATCTAAATATATATGTATAAATACTATGTATGAATTTCATGATTAAATTAATATTTTAATAGAAAGCAAATAGTCAGAAGGAATGCTCATACAATTTTTTATACTTTCAATAAATGAACTGAAATTGGTTAATCTTTAAGAAAATAATCAAATTATTTTATCTTAAAAAAGTATTTCAACTACAATTTCAAAAAAAAAAAAAAGAAATAAAACAACCTTTACCACATAAGGTGGGTTAAATTCTTCACAATACAACTTTACTAAAATTTAGGTATTCTCAAAATATTTGAAGTATGACTAACAATAGTACGTTAGTATTTTTTTAGTAAACTATCAAAGACAAATGTATTTGCAGTGATTAATGATAATTATTGTGTCAAAATAAAATGATTTGACAACATTTAACCTAAACCACTTTGATAAAACCTAAAATTTCATTAATTTTTGTTGAGTCAATAACTGTATTCTAATCAATGAAAAATTCAAAAATAATCAACTTTTATACAAAACGATTGCAAAAATTGTTATAGTAATAGAGAAGTTAGAATAAATGTTAAAAAACTAAAATATATTGGGCTAATGGCGCTGCTTTTGTACATTTTACTTTTATTTTTTAGTCTTGTATGATCAAACAGATTGTTATTTAATAGAAGTTTTTTCAAAATATATTTTTAATCATATATTTAATAAGACCTGATCACTTTCAATATTTAACTTCAGAATTTTTTTTGCATTACGTACATCTTAAATAAATTTAAAAAAATGTTTTCATTCTTCGAATGTGTCATCATTCCTTGTTTTCAAAAACGTCTTACAACTTTGCCGAGCTCTGCATACTTAAACACGCATAACTAACGGAGGAATTTTTTTAATGGATGGAAAATCACAAACTGAGATAACAAATTATAAATATGTTTTCTGAAGTGTAAACTCGACAAATAATACTCTAATGACAACATGTATGTGTGTAAAAACTCTCATGTCTTAGGATTCCCTCGATTGATAAACCTTAGCTACTTTCTTTGTTTTTAGATACTTATTTCTACTCAAAAATAGGAATTGTAGTCGTTTTTATTACATACATAGATGCTGACATTCACAAAAATATACCTCTTTTGTCTCTTATTTTGAAATTTTTTTTTGAAGCACACCCTAGAAATCTGGCTTACTTCGCTCGCAATGTGATGTACTATGAGGAAAAAATCATAAACGCTGATTTCAGTGAAGGTGATAACTTTTTACCGCGATTTAAATGCCATTTCTTCATCCATAAGATATAGATACAATTTTACAAATACAATTTTAACGTGTTAATCGCGGAAAAACGATGTCACCTACACTAAAACTTGTGTTTATGATTTTCCCCGCATGGTACATGACATTGTGAGCAAAGTGAGTATCATCTCGAGCTCGTACCTCAAAAAATGTTTTTATTAAAAATTGGGGACAAAAACGGAATGTTTTTCGTGGATTTCATCGTATATTTATTATATGTTGTTATCATTAGTCATTTTTTTTTATTTCGATTTTATGGATATAAAAATAGTCTTTTTTCTAAAAATCAATTTTTTTGATTTTCATCGTTGTTTTAGGAAACTTTATGATAGAAAATATGTAAGTCCATGAAATTTTCGAGAAAAAGCACGTATTTAGCATTTTTTTGCATACTATATAAATACTTGTTGAGGAGCTGTTTCCAAAGGTGAAATAATTAAAATGAACAGAATTAATTTTTGAAAAAGTATCATGAGGTGCAATATAAATATATTAAACTGAATAAAATCACTAATATTGAAACAGCACGATTTACCTGCCGTATTGTGCCGCGAGGTCCAGGGCGCACTCGCCACGGCTATTGCGGATGCTGGGATCGCACCCGTGCTGCAGCAACTGCGCCACTACTTCCGTGTGCCCGTATTGAGCAGCACAGTGCAACGCTGTCTCATTGTCCTTCGTCTGTTTCGTAGATATAATTTACGTAAGTACATAGATTTATGATGTAGAAATGCAAATAATATCGATGTATGATGGCTTTGTCACGAAAATAAAAATATATAGTTTGATTGATCAAATGTTGGTAGATAAACAAATAAGAAATCCATCAAATATTTCTACAGAAATGGTTCTTGTTAAAATTTAATCAAGTAGTAATTTTGTTTAACTTTCAAATTGATCAAAAATAATTGAATTATGTCAATAACAGTATTCGATAAAGAACCAAAAATTTTATCACGAATTAAAATCAAACAAAGATATTATTAATAAAGATTTTATTTGAAAGGGGAGGATTCGTTATTACGTTTTCTCGACTGGCGCAAATATAATTACCGTTAGGTTGACATTCGGCACCGACGGTCCTTGACTCAGAATTAATCGCAAAATTTCCGAGTTCCCAGACCATGCCGCTAAATGAAGCGGAGAAGAGCCCTTGGCATCGACGATATTGGTCGAGGCCTCGTGCTGGAGCAGTAGCTTCACTACTTCCCTGTGGGCGGAGGAAAGGAATAAAAGGGGGAGAAGAGAAATAAAATTATTGTCGCTGACAAAAGGAAAATCGTTGTCGCAATTTCCTTGTCCGATAAAGTACTTAATCAAAAGGGCAGATAATAACACGAAAATCAGCTCACTTTAGGCGTATAAAATCTCGATCGAAAATTTTTATCAAGTAGATATTTAAATCATGTAGAAAATATCAGAATGAATGATGCACAAGTAATTTTATATATTTGCAGTGCATAATTTATTCAAAAGAAATTTACGATTGTAAAATATTAGATTTTTATAACTGTAACATCCTTTGTAAAAAAAAAAAAGAAAATACATCAATATAATTACTTGTGGCCGTTCAGAGCTGCATGGTGTAGAGCTGAATAACCACTCGAGTCTTGGACATTAGCACCTTGACCTCGGCGTAAACTGAAATTACACAAAATAATTACAAATAATTAAAATAAGTCTAACTCAGAACTACATTAGCATTAAATCAGATATTCATACACATTTCCATGATATAAAGTTACTTCAGTCCCAAAAAATTTACATTTCGATGTAAAATACCTAATAGAGAATAACGGGCAATAGGATCAAATGTTTTTTAGAATTCAATAAGATTTTGTACGGTATTAATAATTAAAGTAACCTAATAAAAATTTCCTTCCACCTGTAATAAGACATTATTTGGTGATGTTACTATTGGCAACATGGTAAGTAATGGCAAGTTAAAAACGCAGCTTAATCGTTTTTATTGCGCAGAGCTCCGGTAGAGGAAGATCTATATAAATACCACAATGAATACTCAAATCAAGATACTCTTAAACAATTAAATTACTTGATTTTAGTATTAAGTAATGTTTTCGTATTAAACAGTAAAGCATCGACGTTAGTTTTGTTAAAAAGCTGTTAACGTAAAGTTCTATAACTAGAGTTAGAAAAAAAATTTTTTAGAGATACTTTCTGGACAGATAATTTAGTGCAAAAACAATATAAAGAGTACAATTTTCCTTAAAGAAACATGCAATACATGTATGCTACATGGAATATTTCACAAAAATCAAATTTTTTGTGTCCTCATCAATTAAACCACCATATAGTATAAAGATTTGGTTTTGAAAATTTTATTATGTACAATAAAGTTATTTTCTACTGAAATTATGTAACAAAAAGCTTTTTTTTTTGTTTCAAAAAAAAAAAATTTGCTAATTTAACGTTACAGAAGCGGGTCATATTCCATGACTAAAATGGGGTGGGGTTCGAAATAACGACAGTTCACTTCAATTTTGCAGTAAAACTATGAATGTTCATTGCAGCGACGTGTATTCCGACGACAACGATAGCTCAGTGCAGCGACTGTTCATTATGACGACAGCGAATCACGAAACAGTATAAGAAGAAAGTCAAAGTAAACTGCCTTGTGATTGGCTGCCGAAATAATGAACAGTCGCTGCACTGAGCTATCGTTGTCGTCGGAATACACGTCGCTGCAATGAACATTCATAGTTTTACTGCAAAATTGAAGTGAACTGTCGTTATTTCGGACCCCACCTCTAAAATGTTACCGTAGTACATGGTAGCAGAAAAAAAGGGACAATTGACTGAATTTTATCCTCCCAACTATATCATGTGTGTATATGTGTATACGTGGTAAAAGATGCGCATATCGGTGGCACCATCAGCATTTAAATATGGTTTCATCAAAAAATCCATTAGGAGAACCATCTATGAGCAAAAGTTCCATTATTCATAAATTGTATTTGTGTATGACATATTCTCTTTACATGTTTCTTTCGCTCACTTGGTGGCTTTCTCTTCAACGCCACATCACTGTTACTACTACTACTTACGAGAAGGTTTGGTTGTAAAAGATAAATTTATAATCAGTCAGGCCATTGGTCACTGCTCAGTTTATACATGTTTACGTGTAATTAACAGCGCCCTCTCAGTCAAGAAACCTTAGAGCGTTTTGGGCCTCGCATGATATCGATATATCTATGTATCTGATTACTGACATATTGGTCGGGCGTATAGATGCAGTTTGAATGTTCCCAAGTTTTTTGTCAGAGGGCATTGCTTTACTAGGCCAAATTTTTTTGTTTATTTATTCCTACCACGTGCTCACATTATGTGAACCGTTTGGTTAACTTACACAATAATTTAAATAACTGTTAATGAATATTTTTATACTCTATTATTGAAATCTACACTTAATATAAATATACACTCTCATTCGAATTACAATCCTGATGGTCTAAAAGACAATAAACATCTAAAAACAGAAATACAGATTTTGGCCGAGTATAGTATAAAGTTGTAATTGTACCACAAAGTTGTGAATACAAAACATGTAGATCTAAAAAAATTTTGTGGATTTATATGTGTTCAAGGAAAGTTTGTAGATCCTATGGATCTCCATTTTTGTAGTACACGTTTATAACTTACATGTGATAATTATAGTCTAAATAACAATAACTGACAAAAATAGCTACAAACTGACGTAATAGTACCAATTACAATATTGATAAATTAAAAAAAAATCGTCAACTTATAGGTATATGGCTATAATTTTTTCTCTGATAAAAAATGTAATAGTTGTGCCTTGAATGCCAAAATTTAACTTTTTTCATAAATGTAGCCAGTTTCTTTTATTAAAGCAATAAAAAAAAAAAAAAATAATTAACACTATTCTTTGTAAAAATTATTAATACTAGCACCTACTCGCCTCTAGCTCTAGAATAGTGCACTGTTTAATATTATCTTTCAACCATTTATTATAATTTTGTGGACCACAGACCAGGCACATACAATTTTTTCTAATTTAAATGCAGCAAACAATTGAAGCCTTGAAAAACCCTTATATAGAAAATATATAGTTAGAAGTACATATATAGTTACAGCCACAACGATGGAAACTTTTTAGCATACGATATGCCAGATTATCGTTATTCAAGATTTGGACCGACCCCGCAACACAATATAAAGGATCTTCAACAACAGCCCTTTTCCAGCGAGATCAATGAGGTAGAATTATGGGGTAATAGTGGCTCGTCTAATTCGATCGACTTTAGTTTAAGTGAACAAAATGAACTGCTAGACGACTTTTTAGAAATGTTAGACGAGAACTGTTAATGGAAACAGTTTATCGAGTTGTTTGTGTGGATAAATTTTAAGGCTAAAAATAAGTTCTGTTTAAATAATTTGGTAACGTGTGTTAAAATGCACATGTCATGCATATATGTATATTGTTGTATTTGTTTAGCATAAAATGATTTTTTATACCAAGCCACAAGAAAAAAAAATATAACGTTTATTGAAAAATGAGTAAATTGTTTTCTATTATTAAAAAGTCTGATGGATTACTACACATTTGTGTATCTCAACTGAATACTGTTTTTAAAATTCAATTAATTTTAAATACTCCTAAAAATTGTATACTATTCAATAACACTGTAGTCCATTATAAGGAATAAATTAACAACAAAATCGAAGTTTCAAAATAGTCTGATGGATTACTACACATTTGTGTATCTCAACTGAATACTGTTTTTAAAATTCATTTAATTTTAAATATTCCTAAAAATTGTATACTATTCAATAACACTGTAGTCCATTATAAGGAATAAATTAACAACAAAATCGAAGTTTCAAAATAGTCTGATGGATTACTACACATTTGTGTATCTCAACTGAATACTGTTTTTAAAATTCATTTAATTTTAAATATTCCTAAAAATTGTATACTATTCAATAACACTGTAGTCCATTATAAGGAGTAAATTAACAACAAAATCGAAATTTCAAAAAATTGGTGATTTTTCAATTAAATATAAATTTTATAGAAACAATAACTTTATCATCAAGACGAATTTCAGTCTCAAACACGATCTAGTTTTAAAAATGTTATCTGTGACACATCTCATAACAATGCTGTAGGATACACGCGTGTGTACATATTTTGAAGAAAGCATATGTCTTCTCAATAACTCTTCTACAAGATAATAAAAATTTGGAAAAAAAAGACAACATTAACCAAAGTACACAAACAACTACGTTACTTACACTGCTTTTACGAGCACGCAACCAATCGAAAAATATATATTTTTTATTTATTAAAACCAATGGTCAGTATTTTTTCAAACGAATGGGAACAAATCTACACATTCTAAACTTTGAACTAACAGAAATACCTTAGGTTTTTTCTTATGCGTCGAAAAATCTCCTCAGCTCGCTCCCTACTGCACACAATACTAAATTTCATCCTTACGTAGCATAGTCGTGTAGGTTATTCTTTGTTGTTAAAACAAGCCGCCCAGAACTCGCCTTTTCTTTGTCATTATAACACTTTCTCATTTGCATTTTTTTTTTTTTTTTTTTTTTTACTCTAATGATAAGAGAACCAAGTTTATCGAACAAAGGGCGAGGAAGAGAGAACAAGTGAGTTAGCACAAAATCTAAACGAACACACGCTGTTTGCACACCTTCTCGGTTGCAGTCGATCGGGCAGTACCAGTCTAGCAGCTAGTACACAGCGGCTTTTCGTTCGTTTGCTCAAGCCCAGTGCACAGGATAGGAGAGGCTCCCGCTAACGAAGCCGATATACTCGTTCGACACATGTTCTCGTTACGCGCTATTGTTGCACGAATGGTCCAGACTCTCTCTCTCTCTCTTCTGGCTCCTCTTTCTCTTCGCCCACACGCATACACGTGCAACGGGGGAGCCGTGCAAACTCCCACAGGAGTAGGTACAAGCCGCTGAAGCCGTAATCCATATTCGTGTTTACTCGTGACTTCCGAGTAAGCCTCCCCCTTTTAGGTCCTCTTTGCGCTACCCCCCTGAATGCGCTCCTTGGATTCATTTTTCTATCGCTGCATTTTGTAGGTGAATGCAAGTCCAAAAAAAGGGTACGGATTTACTGCTGAATTGCAGGTGGAACTAGATCGCTTGAGTTTCAGGATGAAGTATGATCTTGTTAAGGGATTTTTCTACTTCTGCGACATGTGTATGGGTACTCATTTTTAAAATTATATTACTTTCGTTTGATGTAACGTTATTTGTACTGTTTGCACATTTAAGACTGTTGATATTTTGCCTTTTTTTCAACTGTAAGTTGTATGTATTAAACATTATTGTACTATTACACTTCCACTGAACACATTGATACCTAAGTGAAAGAGAAAATATCATTACAATTTTTTAACAGAAGACACTTTTTTTTTCTATTCCAAAAAGGTACAATCTCGATTTTGAGTACTTAAAAAGTACTTTCTTAATTATTTTACGTTTTTAGTATTTGTAACTATATTAATTCACATGCTATTTTTCATCTAATATAAAAAGACATGTACACATTGACTAAGAGTACGTTAACTACAACTTTGCATTTAAATCGAAAATTTATTAGAAAATACCTTTTTTTCATCGAT